TACACTACACTACGCCACACTACACTACACTACACCACACCACACTACACTACACCACACTACACCACACTACACTACACTACACTACACTACACTACACTACACCACACTACACTACACTACACCACACTACACTACACCACAGCGCACTACACCACACTACACCACAGCACACTCAGGTGAGAAAGTCATCCGTCAGAAAACTCAAGAACTCACACTCACTCTAAGGTACGATACTTAAGCATTTTCTACAGCTCTGAAGGGCCCAACATCCTAAAAATGATCAACTTATAAAAATAACTTTTATAGAAGTTGAAACTCTAGTTCCTAGGAAGAAAATCACTTCCTTTGAAGCAATCGAGAGGACCTCTAGGTCAGACCCATCACTTTAGAGAAATCTTGATGGGATGAAAAGTTTGTAACTTTCTCGGGTAAAAGCTGTGTATAGTGACACACAGCAAGAGAATGCACTACGCTGATCGGTAGTACGAATTTTGACTAGTTTAGTAAGAGTTCTACGGCACTTGTAACACAATAAGGTCATATAAGTGAGGAAGATTAGAGGTGTTACAAGAGAGTAACAAACACAAACAAAGAAGAAGGAGAGATAAGCAGAGGTTTGATAGGAAAGAGGAAGAAGCAGACTACAGGAGAGAACCCGCCAACCACCCACTCACCGGCTGTGTTTGCTGGGTTTGACAGTGAGGATGATGAGCGCGGCCACATTGCCCACGACGCCGATGAAGAACATGATGGACGGGAAGAGGATGCTCTTGGACAGGTTGCCCTGGGCCGTGCCGTTCATGACGTCAGTTCCGTTGAGCCAGTCGTCTGCTAGAGTGACCACATCACTCCCGGTGAGATTGTAGCTCGCCCCGAGGCTGGTGTTGGGAGGCGCGTCCAGTGAGAGAGGAGGCGTGTCCAGTGAGAGAGGAGGGGCGGAGGTGAGTATGTCCGTCATGGTTATCGGTGGCCGTCAAATGTTATAGTGAGCGTTGGATCTGAGTATTAAGTTTTAATAAGTGTTTTACCGCACTTGCAACACAATATGGTCATATAAGTGCCGAAGATTAGAGGTGTTGCAAGAGAATAACAAACTCAAAAAAGAAGGAGGGGGAGATGATAAGGAAGATAGATGTTTGATAGGAAAGAAGAAGCAAACCACACCAGAGCACCCGCCACCCACACACTGGATCTGCGTATGTGATGTGATGTGTGTGTGTGTGTGTGTGTGTGTGTGTGTGTGTGTGTGTGTGTGTGTGTGTGTGTGTATGTGTGTGTGTGTGTTATGAGTCTATGACGTGGGAGAGCAATACAATCAATCACGACACAGGATGTTGTTCGAGCCAAAGGGAGAGCCGTCAATGAGCCAAAACATCTTTCTGTCGAGAGATAAGCACAAAACACAGAAAGAAATATCTGACAGAAACAAAACGTTCTGCACACTTCTGCTGTCTGGCACACTTCTGCTGTCTGGCACACTTCTGCTGTCTGGCACACTTCTGCTGTCTGGCACACTTCTGCTGTCTGGCACACTTCTGCTGTCTGGGTCTTTTTCAAACGGTCACGACTGGTCTCTCGTGCTGAATTCACTTCGCCAAAATCCGTCCACACTTTAAGAAAAAACTAACACGCCGAAACAATTCGTTGTTTTTTTTGGGGGGA